TGTTTGTATTCTGTTGATAGGCATGTAAATTGATACAGCCTTTGTGGGAAATAGTATGCAGATTCATCAAAAAATTACAAATAGAACTGCCATCTGATCCACCAATTCCACTTTTATGTATACAGCCAAAGGAAATGAAATCTCAAAAAGGTATCTGTATTCCCATATTTATTACAGTATATTGACAAAAGCCAATACATGGAAACAACCTAAGTGTCCACTGACAGATGAATGGATAAAGAAAATGTGGTATACATACAATAGAACATTATTCAGCACTGAGAAAGAAGGAAACCCTGCCGTTTGTGACAGCATGAATGAAACTGGAGGACATTACACTAAGTGAAATAAGGCAGGCACGGAAAGACAAAAACTGCATGATCTCACCAATGTGTGGACTCTAAAAAATTTAAACTTTCAGAAACAGAGACTAGAATGGTGGTTGTCAGGGCTTGGGTGATGGGAAAAATGGGGAGATGTTGGTAAAAGGGTACTTGGGTTCAGTTTTGAGGGATGAATAAGTTCTGGAGATCTAATGTGCAGTATGGTAAGTTTTGGTAGTAATACCATACTGTATACTTGAAATTTGATAAGAATTATCTCAAATGTTCTCACCACAAAAAAAAAAATTAGCTATGTGAGTCAATGCGTATTTCAGTTTGCAGTAATCATTTCATAATGTATATAAAAAAGTCACATTGTACACCTTAAATATATATACAATTTTTGTTGTTGTTAAGCATCTCTCAAGGCTGAAGAAAATAAAGTCAAAGTCTGGAAATAGTGACTTAGCAAAGGGCTAAAACCAGAGATTATCAGCCAAGAGATGAAGGTTTACGGAAAAATTGGAGCTTGATATCCATGCTAAGGAATGAGTAAGGCAGGAATTTGTAAGCATACTAAGGGACATTTGATAAGCAAACATCAGGATGTTCCTACGGCATTTTGCACAAAGCCATTCTACACTACCTAGGAGAAATTTTAGTTTCTGGCATGTTTACATTTTTTTTTTGCCCTATTTCAAATACAAATATAGATTCTTTTCGTAGTCTATTGCTAATTTTACTTAGAATTTAGGCTGGGTGAAATTAGACATATATATTTAAGCTTGCATCCTAATTGACGTCTAATAAATAATTAAGTCATATTGCAAATGTCAGTGGCTGAAAAACATTCACTGGATCTTTATATGTAGGAATTCATGAGGTCAAGGGATGAGAAAAAACTTTATAGGCTTGTGGAATGCATGAGGCAAAAAGAAATGGCAGATTTATGAAAATAAGAAGAGACCCATGTGACTGTATTTTAGTAATTATAAAAGAATTTATTAAGAAATAAATCTGCAAGGTAAGTGGTGGTATGTAATGAGAATTTTAATACCGTGCTCAGGACTTGAATCTTTTTCCTTCACAAAACGGAGAGGTCATTGAATATTTGTAGAGTTGACAATGATTTGATAGAAATCTAGCTAGAATGTGAATAAATCGTTTTGAGGGGAAGTGGACTGAAGGATTAGATATAGACATTGGAGAAAATGGACTTGGGGATTAGATACTAAACATAACTGGTAAGGCCCCATGGACACTAGAACAGAGACCACAGGAAGAGTGTGGTAGTTTACAGGGAGATGATTCGGTTGTAGGTTTCTTCTACAATTGCATTATTTTGCTTTTGTCTTCTGTCTTGATGAAAAGCAATTATGAAGAAAAATGCGACTTTCCCTCAGTGTACAAGTCAAAATCCTTTAACCAGTAAATCTCTAAAATCCATCCCTAATCCCTTTTCTGATCTTACCTACTGCTTCTCCCCGTCATCCTCTCTGTTCCAGCTGAGCAGAACTTCTCGCCCTTTCTTAACCTTGCCAGGCATGCTCTAAGCTCAGACCTTTCACGATGACTGTTTCCTTCGCTGGGGATGTTCTGCCTTCAGAAATCTGCGTGTCTTGTCCCTTTAACTCCTTCTGGTTTTCATGCAAATGTTGTCTTATCTACATTTTCCAGGAAGGAAGGCAGAGTAGTGGAAGTACTCTGTATGGTATTATAAGGGGGGATCCATGTCATTATAAGTTTGCCCAAACCCACAGAATGCACAGCACCGAGAATAAGCCCTGAAATAAACCATAGGTTTTGGGTGATGATGATGTATCAACACGGGCTCGTCTATTGTAACAAACATCCCACTCTGAGAAGGGCTATTGGTGATGAAGAAGGCTATGCACGTGTGGGTCAGTGGGTGCATGAGAGATAGCTATACCTTCTGTTTAATTTTGCTGTGAGCTTAAAACTGTTCTAAAAAATAAATTCTATTTTAAAAAAAAGTTAAAAGAGGGAGAGTAGGCTGGGAAAGGATCTGAGGGGAAACTTCTGTGGTGCCAGTAATGTTCTTCTCTTGAACTGAATGTGTCCCCTGTGTCTAAGTCCAATAAACTGTATCCACGTGTCTACAATAGTAGACGTGCATTTCAGCCTTTAGGCATGGCTTGTGTTTTGGATGTGTCTGACTCCACCAACATTAATTCATTATGTACATTCAAAGGATTGTAACATCTGAGATGACGTGGGAAACTATGTTTTGATTAGCACAGTTTTGCAGAGCACTTCATGGTTCTTAAAAAAAAGCAGTGCAGATTTCATTTCAAAATTTAACATAAACATTTATTTGTCATTTTAACTTTAATTTAATAAGCAATACTGGGTTTTATTACATATTATATAAATATATATGCATATACTTTCTAAGAAACAGCATAGGCCTGAAATAAAAATTAGTAAGCATTTAGAAATAATAATTAAAATACAAATAATAATAAAGTGCAAAGGAACATATACAGTGCTAAATTGCATAATTCAGATAAAAAGATGTAAATTTTTTTTGCACTCTTCTCCTTGCCTGCACTGCCCCCACCAAAAAAAGAAAGAAAGAAAAAAGAAAAGTCAGCAGACAGGAGCGCTTAAGATCAAGGTAAATACTGGAAGATAAGTAGCACCTTTAGTTAATAAAATGATTGTCAACATTTATTTCCAGTAGGCCAAAATGAGCACTTATGATTTCGTAAAGAAAATAAAACTAGTTAATATATACCATAAAGTTTAGCTGCTGCATACTTCAACACTTGCATAGAATGTTTACCAACAAAATAAAAATAAATCTTCAAAACAGAATATCAATTTTAAGATAAAGAAAATGCTACAGGTGTTTGTTTTCCAAATTTTTAAAAATTAGCCAGAGAATTCCTCTAATATACATTCAGCTTGCATCATAGAATCCTGCAGGATTCATTTAATAATCTAGTTCCATCAATTCATTTCAATAAAGGAATTATTCTGTGCCTGGCCCCTTGCTAGGCATTAAAGTTGTCATTATAACTAAGATAACATCCTTGTCTACTGGGAGCTCACAGTCTAGTAAAGAGAGATGAATTTGAAAATATATTAAAAACTGCAGGCAAAATACATACCCACACAGAGTAATTCAACGTTTGGTTCCAAGTTAGTTACATAGTGAAACTTAGAAACAACAATAAAGACTTTTTTTTTTACAATAGAGATTTCTAAAATATTATGTCCATATAATACCGTAATATAAATAAAAGTTAAGTGGTAAATGATTTAGTAGTCAAATAAGCTTGCTTAAAAATGAAGTTGGAACATACTGAACTAAATATATTTTTTAAATGATCAACAATATAATATATTTCTGATTTAAATAATTCTACATTCTGTTTAGATAAAAACCAAATATGTGTTTGTATGGAAATGCTGGGCTAACTGGCATACCACTTTTGGTTAATTTTTTCCCAGGTTTTATTTGCCCAGTTCAGAACTATTATATAGACAAAAATTACAGACATAAATATATATTCCAAGATCATCATAGTTACTTTAAGTACATTCATCTGTAAGAAGGCAACAAGAAGAGGGTTCTAGTCTTAAACTTTGACAGTCATTTACATTAATTATTCTTTTATACCTTATTGATTTTTTTCAAAAGTGAAATATGTACAGTCATGATTTAGGTCATGTTACAAACAACTGGGTGGTCACCTTTGGCGTCAAGCAAAACTACCTTTCTCTTTAATTCACTCTCATAGTAGTTGACAGACCATGTGACAGTATGATCATCTGCTCTGTGGTCTCGAAGATGCCTACAGAACCAACAAATCAACCACATTTTAATTTTTTCACTTAACAATCATAAAAATACAGCCTAAGATGTAATTTGTATTTTTTAAAAATTCTATAGGTTAACCCCTGAATGCAATCCTGAAAAATTCTTGCAGAAGTTAGCTAGGTGTAGCTAGGCCAAGGAATGTGCAATGTCTGTCTTATTAGAAACATGTCATTAGGTAAAACTTTCACCCCAATAGTCTTACTTTTAATACCTGCCCAAATGTAATAAAAAGATAAGAAAAAATATGTTGGAGGAATATAACTAGTAAATAAAACGGTTTCAAAAATTCCTCAAAAATGAGGAACTATTCATTCCAAGAAATGTTAATCAACATGGCTAGTTTAGAATAATTGAAGGAACGTGCTTTTAAATAAAGAGGTTCAAATCAAATGTAAAGTCTAAAAAATGTCTGAGAAGATCCTGCTCTTCCATCTTCAACATAGAAATTTCTATACCTGAATAATATATAAGTAACGTGCAATCCCACTTTGATCATCATTGCAAAGAAAGGACCCTGTATTAAGTCGATGCGCTCATGGCAGTGACTGAAGCCCGCCCCCGTCACAGAGCCAGTGCCAGCTGAGAATCTGGATGTCAGTGTGGCCGAACCCAAACACATCACGGCAGATGTGTTTTAAGGCCCGATGCATGCAAAATTTTACTGTGACACATCAGTTTATCAAAACGTTTATCATGTATGTTCTTAGGGTAAATGTCCTTAACGAACTAAGCAACGAATCTTGAGTGCAGACTACTGTTTTCACACTTTCACAGAGTGAATTCCTCACAGGGACTGCTCTTTCCTTTCACCAGGGATCTTGTATTTAGGATTTTTTTTTTTCTGGAATGAAATCAAAAGGGAAAAATCTAGAAAGAATATCTAGAGAAGATGGGGGCTGGAAGTAGACGGGATCTCACATAACAGAAACTAGTCTTAACTGTTGTAAATTTGCTATTGTCATCTAGGTGAAATGACCATTTATTTTTTGCAGTTTATAATCTAGCAGATGGCCATTTATTTGTGCTTCTTTTCGTGTTAAGCACTGTAGTAAGCACTTGACGTGTATGATTTAATGTTCATTACCGCCCTATGAAGTAGCTAAAGTTCTTACGTTTATAGTGAGGACATTAAGGTACAGAGGGGCTCATATAATCTTCTATGGCGTTTCAAACTTGTTTCCATGGTGCAATGACCATTTAAGAAGAAATACGTTGGAGATCTTATCCTAGTCATCCTCAGACTGTTAAATCAACAAATGCAGTTGCCCTGTTCTCCTCAGCACTGTCCAACGGCAACAATCTCTTGGATACAAGTTAACAATTTAACAAACTTGTAGTGCACCCTCTGTGCTCTGGCTTGATGCTTTTAGAAAACAAGTAAGTGAATAAAACATGAACATAGGCAAAAAAGGAATTAATGAAATATTGACACATGGATTCTATAAACAAATTGGTGAGTTTTTTTTAGTGACTTACATACTGCTATAGCAACACACATTGTGCAAAATCCTTCATCCCTGTAGTTGTTTGTCCAGCTCACTTAGAATCATCTGCTGTAGGAATCGGGAAATAGTCTTCAAATTAAATTTATAAATGGCATTTTGCAAAGTATGATTCAATTAGGAGAAATACAGTCATTTTGTAAATAAAGGACTTATCAAGTAAGGTTAGAATATGTGTTTCCAGGAAGATATATATTTACTTTATATTCACCATTACAAACAAGATGGTTAATGGGGAAAAAATAGACTAAGAGTTAAACGACCTGGTTCTATTTCCAACTCTGCATTTACTCGCAGGACAAATACATGTTTAGGCAAAGTGCTCACCTGTTCTCGTCTTACTCTCTCAAAAATACAGATATCTAACAAAACTAACTTAAATGTATCAAAACCAAAATACAGCACAAATCAAAATACAATGGCATTTAATGCTTAGAAAATAAACACTCTGGTTCTCATGTCCTTTCTCACTAAATCCAGAAATATTCATGCTTTAGTTAGACATAGAAAGCACCTACCAGAAAAATAAAGCCCATTAAATAACGTCAGAAATGTGTACTCTAATGAACAAGCTCTACAAACTGAGACTAAAATGTTTTCTAGATGCATATAAAAGTAAAGCAACAACAAAAATACTCAGAATAAAAAAGTTTAATCAGAAGAATATGTCTGAAAATTTCACCCTGAAATTCATACGAGATCAGCATTCCATTCTTTTGTTCATCTTAAAAGAACTTTTTACTGACTTATGTCTCAGTAGAAAGTTGGGTACCTGTTTTCAAATAGAGCTGTTTTGCCATATTTGAATTTAAAACAAAGAAACAAAGAAACAAAAACTTGCTTTACCATGTGAAGAAAAACATTTGCTGATACGGTGATGAATTTATGATCACTGAATCTTACCTACTGAAATTCTCCTGAACATTACTTTCCTTATTAATGAATATATATGAAGACTGAAAAACATGGAGATCATTGCAAGTAGGAGAAGTATAATTAAACCCACCAAAGAGACAAAATGCTATACTAAAAAGTCCATAATTAGATAAAAATGCTAAAGACATTATGAAAAAAGATGAAAGAAAAGTAATTTTTGAAAATAACTATAGGAAAAAAGGAGGGGAGGAAGGTAGGCAGCATGGGTTGGGATGGGAGAAATAATTTGCTCTAAAATAATTTTCATATGCTCTGTTAAAATAAAATTTTTTTTGCAATATTACTTTTCCTCTTAAGGTCGAGACCTAAAATTATGATTCTCATTACAATGATCATTCTTCCGTGAACTGCACATAATTGTGAAATAAAGTGAAGGCAAAGCAGAAGACTGAGAAAACCAGACCATAGGACTGTGTAAAGCGTTACAACCTGATATACAATTTGATAACAAAGAAGAGAAAGTCAGAACTACCAAAAATGTGAACTCAGCAAATTATTGATTTTTTAAAAAATTATCAACAAAGATAGTTTGTGTTTTGATTATACAGGCATTATAATTACCAACAATTGGGGCTTTTCAGCTTTTAAGTGCATTGCTCAAACATGAGATTATGCCCGTAAATATGTAGGACTCAAAACCTAAAAAATAAGTGAGATGAGTAAAGTAAAGCTTGTAATCTCAATTTTTATCGCAACAATTTTGATGCTCTTTGGTACTGGGAGTTGTTACAGTAAGGAATCTACTTGGTAACAGTATGATGTGTCAGTGATGTCTCTGCACTGAAAGAGCCTACAGGACGGTATGTAATGACGGCATGCAGTGATGATAAGCTTTGTTTCTCAAAGTTCCAGGCACTTTAAGAAAATTAGAAACATCCTGAATAGTGTCAAGGACAGAACAATCTATTTTTCTAGATTCTTAAAAGTCATATTCAATTACCTATTCATCATGCCTAAGGAAAAGTCATAATAACAGAAACATTATCTAGAACATAAGCACCTTCCTTATCCCGGAAACCTCAAGTCACACGAGTTCCCCTATTTGTGAACATGAGTGGTTACAGCCGAAAGTGGACACTGCCGACCCCAGGAACGTGGCCGTTCCTGCAAATCAAACAAACAAGACCAGGTGCGGCATGAGTGACTTTGTGCAAGATGTAAGACACTGGAAGTGCACCATCTGAGATAGCGTTAAGGAGAACAGTATTCCAAGGATGTCAGAAATCCAGGTGGAGAGGACAAAAGCAATGCACTCGTTCTCGCTATAGAACAACGGGACAGAAGGAGAATGACAATGTTCAGGGACACTTGAAAAACCAGTTACGGTGTAGGAACAGTTGCAGTAAGTGATGAAAATAAATATATACTGTATAGATGAGCCAAATTATTTGTACCTCATAAACCTTTTACAATTTTTTGGTAGTTTGGGTTGAACCTATAAGTGGGAATCACTATAATTCTGAATATAATGTTTCACAGTAAGTACATTTTATTTTTGAGTCATAATAAGTAGCAACTAATATGGGAATTACTTGTCCATAAAGAAAATAGCATTTTTCTTCTGAATCCAACTTCAGGGAAAATATATTATGCTTGAGTCATATAAATGTCATTATTTTTACAAAAAAAGTCACAATGAAGCAATTATGGCTACTATACAATCGTTACCATCGTTGGGGATAATTTGTTTTGGTTAGAAAGGCAGGCAATTTGAAATTACATATTCAGGTTATAGCAAACACAGTCTCTAATAAACACTCAATAAATCATAATACAAATTGCAGTTAAAGCTAATTGGTTCATCATATAAGGTCTAATTTTTTTTGCATCTGTATTTTGTCTACCTTTGTATCTCTAGCTTCTATGGGGAGACAGCGTGGCAGTGAACACCCTAGGGGCTCTTTCTAGTTTTAGATAAACCTGAGTTTTAGTTCTGGTTCTGTGTTCTGTCACATACTACCTTTTAACTTAGGGTAATTTGCTGAACTTCCTTGTTTTGTTTCACCCATTTATTCCACCAGGCCAACAGCCTCCACTTCTGATTTGGTTTGAATATTAAAAGGTACTTCGCAGGCAAAATGCAGGACACATAAAGATTCGTTTCCTTTCCCTATTAAACTGAGCCTAGCAATCATGACTGTTTATTTGTTATATTAAAAGCCTGCAACATGTTAAGATGTTTTTTTTTAAAGGTAATTTTGGACGGAAAATAAGTTTCAACTAACTGATTAAGTGTTTCTCTGCATTTTATGACATCAATATAAAATGTATCAATATAAAAATATTTGCATCATACATCTTATGGTCTTTTTTCCTATATCCTCAGTTGTCATGTACACCCAGAGAAGGATAAGTAAAAAATACCTAGATTTTTAAAGTGCATATTCAAATATATCAAACCAAAGTATTTCACTTATTACCTAGCGTCCAGGGGAGAGCCAGGAGATAAGGTGGTTAGAACTCGATACTAAAGAAGTGAAATTCACAAGCAATGTGAATTTACACTGAGAAAACATCGTCTTCCCATATGAAGCACACCAGTATGACCCACTGTCCCTTAAATGTGTTCTGATTGGTTCCTAAAAGGATCAGGAAAGAGGATGGTGATGTGTCAGGGTATGTCTAAGCCCCATATTCCATCCACAAATTAGTAAAGGCATATTTAAGATTAAACAGTGAAAAATATGAGGTGTCTTGTTATCTGAAATGAAAAAATACTTAAACCAGCCAGTGGTCATGAACTGCTTTGGTACCCTGGTTTATGACAGCCTTCCTCCTGCACAAGCCCATGAGAGAATGGACGACAAGGGCTCATTCGTGCTCTCTGACTCTGCTTCATGACATCGTGAACGTCTAAACCGTGTCATTCTCTAGGGGAAGAAATATGTTCTGCACCAATTGTTGCTGACACGGGAGCCAACTGTATCTCCTCCTCTTATGCAACTTTATAATAATAAATGTTCGAGGTTGATCGTCTCTTCTCACTCTTTGAAAGATTCTGTTGGAGGAGCAAATATTCTAACAAGTTCAAGGGATTTGGGAGAGTAAACGACTTGACACACTTATTTGACCCTGAAACAATTCTGAATCCTGTGTGTGAGTTTACATCACTCTTTCAAGTGTGTTCTGATTTAATTTTCAATGTTCATGCACGAGAGTTAAGATGTGTGCATATCTGTAACTCTGTGCAGTGCTGCTGCCAGGCACGACTGGATACATACATCATGTCATGAGCTTTGAATGTGCAATTTTACTCCCCTTTCTTTTTTTTTTTTAGCAATTTAACATAATCGGTGTCAGAAATGACAAGTTAAAGGTTACCAAAGAGCAACAGAACACGTACAACTTGGTTGTGACTTGATAAGAACCTCATCAGTAAGTAAATAAACCTCCTTCCAAGGAGAAAGCCACTGGAAGGCACCCACCAGGAGGCGACAAAAAGGACTGTCGCCTTAGGGCTAAAACCCCAGGCTAGATCATGACTTGCCTGGAGTGGGGAGTCTAATATCTATAATAATTTAAATAGGTACCTTCTGAGAATTCAAGTCATTCTGTGGAAATATTTCAGAGTGGAAAGTTACTACACAGTTTATGATGTCACATGTCCTATGACAAGTCAGAGTTGAGTACAAAAGCGCTAATAATATGAAAATAGACTTAAGACTGGATGAAAATAAATTAAAAACAACTATATACTGTCACATTTTCCCTGATTTATTTACCCATGGGATTGGCACATACTGTTTTAATTAACAGTTTAAAAATACAAATACCTCTCTCTATGCAAAAAAAAGTGACTGTTAAATGAAATATGGAATTTTATCTAGCTCGCTAAATGTGAGCTTCATGCTTAAACGGCGCCAGAATTTTACACATCAAATCCTTAATGTTAACTCTCACAAAAGCGTGGTATCCAAGGGCATTTTTAAAGGAAATAAAGAATAGCACCTGCCTCTACTGCAATAATAATACTAATAAAAAAGAAGAGCGAATTCCTTTTGACATCTTAAGAATGACATTACTTCAATCATCAAGCACTAAATGCTTTTTTATTCATCACGATCTCATTTCAACTTCAGAATTAGAGATGGAAATATAACTTTGATCTAATGCGTACATTTTCTTATTTAAAAGTCCTTTATCACTCAAAATGGTATTTATAGTTCCGAATGCACAAATCTATCCTATGCCTCTGTATTCAAGAGCAAGTCAGATTCCCAGTGTCTTCACAGTTATGAAAATTGAGAAACTGCTAATGTTAACCTGGGTTGCAATATTGCAAGCTTCCTTCTATCCAGTTGTAAATTACAACCTGCACTTTCCAAGTAACTCTTGAGGCACACACAACCTCCAGTGCTAGCAGGCTTTTCTGTCTCCCGGTTTAGTTATGTTCACAGGCAGCGGGAAGCCTAACCAGCCATCAGCCGAGGGCGGGATTTTCAAGTGCTACCTTTCTTATAATAGAAGACGTTTTAGGTGGCTGAGTGAAAAGCCTGTTTTGATCTCTGGCTTTTGCTTTTGCATGTTGGGGTGGGGAGGGAAACGCGAGCCCCTGGAGGGCTCCCACTCTTCGTTTACTCAGCTGGATTACTCCTAACAGTAGCCCCCTGATCACCACTGTATGTTGGGTGCTGCCCATTTGTAAGCCTGGCTACCAGGATTCCAGTTGATTCCACTTTGATGTCTCAGGATGGTCGTGAGACTGGATTGAGTCTGATGAAAAGAAATCCCTGATTATTACTTTCTGAATTACTAAAATCCTGTCAAAAATCAATGGACATAGCTCATTCCTAGGGTCATTTTGGCTTTTAATTTGATTTACGTATTAGTTTATACTGCAAATTATTTGAGGATTCTATTTGCTAACACCAGGTATGCATGGCCCCCTTCAAAGAAATCATGTGCATGCATGAATCAAATCTGACAGTGCTCAGAAATAATGGTTTAAAATGGAGGGTTTTTTTTTCCAAATTTATTTCATATATGCAAATGCCTTTTTTTTACAGCAGTTAGCTGCAATTTCAAATTAAGATCATCCTCATTTTCACCCATGTTCTTATCTTTAAAATCCACACTGTAAAGTAGTATGCAAATTCTTTATTCTCCATGGATTTTTTTTTAAGTTAAAAAAAAAATAACAGTGATAATATTCTTTTTGAACTTTTTTTTGTTCCAGATACCCTGTGTGCTTGTTCTGAAGTGTGTGAAAGTCTGTGTGTGTGAGCGTGTTTGGGAACAATTCATTTCCTTCAATTCCATTTCACACTTTAATATCAAATGAAAAATGAAATGTGGCGAGGGTATTCTTAAAGGATTAAACATACTCCTTCCAACTACTTAAACCAGGGGTTTGGGATTCAGATCTCTATAACCAAGACTGGAAGTCACTGGAAGACTTTAAAATTATTTTAACTACCACAACTAGAGTCATGTATGGAAATAAACCCATTGCATGAATTCTTTATATACATAATCTCAAAATTAAACCGCCCAAATAAGTTTTAAAAAGCAAACATTTAAAATTTGCCATTAAGGAAAATCTCATCTCCATCCTTAATTATGACTCTTCATTTCAACTAAAAGCTTCCAATACTTTGAAAATAAAATATGCCTATGAAAGTCATAAACCCTGAAATCAGAGATGTAATTCTGGTTAAATATTAGTTTCTCTTTCTGAGGGATTAACCTCTGATCCCAGATCTTCGCCGCTAGTATCATGATTTTTCGAAGTGTTCAAGGGTTCAGATTCTAAGGGATTAACCCCTGATCTCGGACTTCTGAAACTTGTGACATCAACATCATGACTTTTTGATGTGCTCAAGGGTTTCGATTCTTGGAACTCAGGCTTATGTGCGTCCTCCAACCTCTTTTCCTTGGCGAGCAGTCTGTAGTTGATAGCATTGCCAATGAGCAGCCACACACTGGATGTGAACACAATAGCTCCACAGACCATATACATATATTTGTATTGGCCGGTTTCATCCACCAATTTACCTAAAAGACAAAGAACATCTTTTAAGATAGCATAATAAAACAGCCACAAAATGATAACATTTGCAAATAAATTCTTCCCTACACCGGGTACCTATTTCTTATTTAAGGTAATATGATGAGAGTTTAATAAAGAAAAAAATAGTCCAGATTATGATTTCCTATATGCATAGTAAAGGCATCTATAGTATATTAAATTATATATGTTAAATTAAATATGTTGAATGTATTGAAAATTATTTCCCTCAATAAAAGTGTACAACCAAATCAAGCTAGGTATATATGTGTCTGTGTATGTATTCATACATGTGTGAAATACATTTTTAAACCTACATATGTAGGAATATATAAACACATTTACAAATGGAAACATATATATGAATATATTTATAGCATACATATTGAGATTGCTTCATCCTTTCCACGTTTTGTGTCTTTTCAATAAAGAGGAAAAACTACATTCTTTAGGAAAAATTCAACGGCTTTTATACGGTTCCTGACAGGGCATAATATTTACTAAATTCTTTCTCTATGCCCAGCACTAGGCTAAACATTTTATTTGTAATTTTGCACTTAACCCTTACAAGAGCACTATGAAGTAGTTAGAACGTGGTTACAGAGCCAGTGAGTGGCAGGATCCGGGCTGTAACCAAAGTCTGTCTACACCGTGCGTTCTTAACTACTCCGTAAAATGGCTTCACCTCTTGGTTAAGTGTCATGTCACTTTCTAGGCTAATCACAGTTTTTCAGTTTAACTGAATCTAAATTATTAAGGCCGAACTAATCAGGAAGAAAGTTTTTGTTCCATTTGATTATTGAGAACATTGGGCACCTAGCCTAGTGCTATATAATCAGAAGGTTTATTGACTTTTAAATATGCTTCAGTTTATACTTAGTTTTGCCTCCTGCCTATGCAAAGCATCTAATTCTTAACAATTATTATTATTAGCAATATTTAGTGTACAGAAATCCATATTATATATCATATGCATACTTCAGGTGATTCTGATACAGACCTGTTTGTTTAGTCAGAATTTCTATCATTCGGACTAGAATCTAGTTAGTGGCTCAGTATTCAGTTTAGCTACTTGTGAAATTATCTATTTCAACAAAGTTCCCTGCTTTAATTACGTTAATGTCGGAATGGGTTTATCTGAGTAAGTATGATAGAGACATCAACAAAACAAAAATTGTGTAATTTAATGTTCCACTCTAACACTGGTCAAATATTTCTATTCATACAATGATTATTACACATCTAAATACGAAACAGTAAGTCTTTGGCCCCATTAGAATTAATATCACTTTCGATTGCAAAATCAACAAACATACTTTCAAAATGTTTGGGGAATTTTTAGCATTATCAAGAAACCAGATATGATCTCCAGAACTGAAGTTTCAGCTCTTTCTGAATGCAGCAGTGAAAAGTTTGAGATGAAAAAAAGAAAAACAAAAACTATGTTGTCCCGACCTTTTCACTAACAAGACTAGTAGCAGCAGTAGCAACTGTATAATAAGTAACTATAATAATACCCATTTATTCAAAAGTACTTACTGAGTGCCTACTATGTGCCAGACACTGCTCTAGTAGTGGCCACATGCCATAGAGGAGAAGCCACTCTAAAAGTCAAGGAGTTGATCAGGGTAACAGGAGGCAGAAACAGGATGAAAAAAATGGGTAGGATCTTAGGGCATAGGCTGAGCGCTTCAATACGAGCCCCAAATTAATTTCTGCCACTGCTACCAGTGATGCAGCAGTTTGGCAATATTAACACAATAAGCACCCAAGGATACTGCGACTGATGTAAATGTGAATACAGGTCTCAGCACAGGTAGGCGCGGCCAAATCAGAGTCCTTCGTTTTCACAGCACCCAGCCACTATGCCTATGGACATGACTTGATTTTTTTTTTCATACCACCATTGCTGGTAAAATACAGTTTTCTCTGTTGATTCTAAGAATTTTCTTGCTAATGAACAGGCTTCTACAACCCATTTGTAAACTAATTCTGTAAGAAAAGATAGGCCAATTGTACTTGTCTTATGTGGCAAAATCAACTGAATGAGGCTTTCATTCTTTCTGAAAATGTTTCGTTGTCGTGCTATATCCGTACTGAGAGATGTACCACCCAAAAGCATGTTGCCAGGTGTCAGAGGGCAGCCCCGGTGGACAGAGGTCAACAACTCCATCACTCCTTCCAGACCAAGTGAAGAAGCAAGAGGAAAGGGCAACGGTGCCTTACAATTAACAAATTAACGTGAGTTGTCCCACTTTCAAAGTCACGAAGGAAGAGATTTACACTTAGCGTGGCAGTAGCTGTGACCACTAGGGGGCAGGAGGTCTAAGTAAATACTTCACATTTAGTGTCAACCGAAGCAATACTATACGGTGGCTACTGGAAAAGACTGGCCAACCAAACGCATTTAATATTTGTAACACTGAATTCTAAGACTGAACAAAGCCTTAACTTCAAAAATGAACTTACACATGTGTCTTTCTCAGTCTCCTTACTGGATAAGTTAGCACAGATACTTTTACAGGCTTCACTGACAGTATTTTAGACCTTAAAATCTAACGGTAATCTTTACAATTTATAAATGTGGAATATAAGTATCTGATCAAGAACATGACTTTGAACGAATTTCCCTTCATTCTTGCGTTCCTATTCATATGTCCTATCAGTGGGATTATGAACATGTTCCTTCATTAAGCATGTAACTAGTTCCAAAGTAATATAACCAATATACTCCAATAAGAACCTGTTGGGAGCATTACTTCAAATATTTGAGTCATTTTAATAAAAAAGAAAAGGAATATGTTTAAAAATGATAGAATAAAGTGGCATCTTATTTCTATGATACATTTTTAAAAGCACGTAACAAACTCATATGGGGGAAAACCTGAAAACTACGCTAATTATCAGTCTAACTTAAATTCGTAAATTCATAAGTCCAAGCTCAGAATCAAATTTTTGTCTAAAATATGCTAATTACGAAATTGAAGTAAAGCCTCAAAGTAACACACCCACAGTCTTCTAGGCGATTAGGTGTTATTATTACAAACACATTTTACACTACAAAGAAAGTTTCGGCTAATGAATGTTAATTTTACGCTTTTTGCTTTCTTTGATGAGAAGTATTCTTACCAGCAAGAGGAGGGCCAAGAAGAACTGGGCAACACTCCACAATTGTGACGAGCCCCACAGCGCTGGAAAACCTCTGAGCACCGACCAGGTCCATGAGTGTCTCAAAGAGGACACTGCTAACACTCCCAAATCCGAGGCCAAAAAACACAGCGTAGACCACCAGGCTCGGGTAGTCGTCAGCCAGCGGGCACAAGAGATGACACACGCCGTTGAACATCACTGCAAAACTGAAGAAGTACTGGATTCGGGGTCGGATAAATCTGGAGTTGGCAATGAATCCTACAGAAGGTCTGGCGAACATATCAACAAAAGCCATAACAGACAGCAAGAAGGCAGCGGAATACTCATCAATTCCTTTGTCTTTGGCGTACGGAGCCAAGAATATAATGGGGGCAAAGAACCCCAGGAACATGATGACATTTCCAGATAAGTATATGAGAAACCCCCTGTGCTTAAAAAGGGAGAAATCTAAATATTTATTAATTGTTTCCCACGTTGATTTCTTCTTATGTCTCGTCTTCTCACCCAAATCCGTCGCTCTTATGCTGACCTTGTTTTTAGACTTCTTCGTAGTTAGTTTGGGTCCCACAGGTCTCATGAGAGACCCAGCCACACAGGCATTCAACAGTATACCTCCCAAAATCAAGAAGCTTCCTTTCCAGCCGTAAGTATTAAAGAGGAACTGGTTGAAGGGAGCCAGCGTGCTTAAGAAAACGGGACTTCCTGCCATGGCCAGGCCGTTCGCCGTCGGCCGTTTCTTGTAGAAGTATTTGCCGATGATTGTTAAGGCAGGTTGCAGGTTGAAGGCCAGACCTAAACCTACAGAGGATAAAACAAAAGGAGGAAGAACACAAGCATGTTACGCCACTCACCAGAGAAATTACTCTTCCAAACATACATTCAAGCTGGGATGGCAGACCTGAAAACCCAGCAGCAGGTAGGAAGTTTTTATAATTACATACATCAATAGGATGGCACATACACAAAAAAGTTCTCATAACCGGACACCCAAGATCGTGAAAGTTTCACATTCCTTTCTTTTGAAGACACAAAAATAAAACCATGAACTTCTACTGTTATTGTAATAATCAGGAGAGGTTGAAACTAGGACAAAAATTATTCATTCTTAATTAAAGTTGCTTAATCCCACAAATAAATAAATCTCTCTTTATATTTGTAGACATAGAAAGAGAGAATAGATTTCTTCCTTGTGGGCAAGAGTGGGTTTAAAATGTGAATGCTTTCTTTTCAGAGTAGAACAGAGTGGACAGACTAAAAAGAATTATCCTTTACAGTTAATCTTAGGTCTCCCAGATATTTTTTCCTTTAAAACCATGCAAATAATACAAAAGAGTAATCAATTCACGCCATTAATTTCATGTTCTACATGAATACAGAGGAACATGGTATTAACTATAAAGGTTTTTTTTTTTTTTTTGCTTGAAACATATTCTCATTTGGGGGATTAAAGCTGTTTATATGAGTCAAAAGTTTCTACTGTCTAGGGAACTCCTTGGCAGTGTTGACTCTGGCCTTTGAGAAATGAGTTACTCCTTACAGCTCACCAGGCACTACCTGGCAGCTGTAATGAACACGTTTGTTTAAAAGAATGAATAGAGTTGACTTATACAAACTACTGCCTCTCCTTCTCCCTTAGCCTAGGCATGATTCTGTATTACGTTAGGGCCTGCAGAAGTAGGAATACCGTACAGACGTGTTGCAAAGTGGTTACGTGTTTAGACTCGGGGACACGGAGTTCTGAGGACAAATACTTGCTGCCAGCCTCTAATACAAACACGTGCATTAAGTGTTTGTAGCAGGGCTCCTCAGAGCTGACACAGAACCAAGCATGTGCTCTGGAGAGTGACGGGGCCGTGTGCTCTCTGATTCTACGTCAGCAAGACAGGGGGGAGGTGCAGAACGAGTGTAATTAGATGCAACATATAAATAATTAAACTGTGGTCGGCAGCTTGTAAGTGGAAGAACCCAAATTAAAACCTGGGAATTGTGTTTTGAAGTTCAATTTCTTCACCTTCTGCCCCCCCCTTCCCTGTGCCCCCATCCCGTCACCTGGAACTTTGCCTTCAGATGCTAATTCCAGGTCTCCTTAGGAGACTGTGGCCACCTAGTTCCCATGTGGCATGGTAAAAGGAACACGAGACGTGACACTGAAGTTCTCAGTCTGCCTCACTGACTCCGCTGTGTGCGCTGCTGGGCCAAGTACTTAAGACTTCGTGAGCTCCAATTCCCTTAACAACAGCGAAAGAGGATTTTGCCAAAATCAAGGAAGCTCTAGAGCTTCAAGATGTTATGTAATGATACTGTAATCATCATTTGTTAATATTTATTTTAAAAGTAACAAAATGCTGGGCACTCTGTAAAGTACTATATATTCATTTTTTTCACATTAATTATGCCAGCAACTCCCAAAGGAAGGAGCTATCATTTCCCTGTTGTAGAGACAAAGAGACTGAGGCATGAGAAGGCTAATTTACCTATGATCACACAGCTAACATGTGCTGAGTCAGGGTTAAAACCTAGCCCTGTCTGATTTCAGACACCAAGAAGCACTGGCTGATAATGACTCAAGATACACCCCTCACAGGTGTAGTCAATGGTTAACTAGAAACACCAAAGCCTTTAAGACTCAGAGGAATGGAACTGAAGTTAGAATAACATATAATACTATTGATACTTGTGATACAATAATACCAAAATCATCTTTCCCCGATACATCTACTTGTAGACCCTGCCTGACTTCAATGGTCAAATGCAACACAGCTGACTGTTGAACGTCGCGGGGTTTAGGGAGTGCCCACCTTCTGCACAGTCGAAAATCTACATGTAATTTATCGCCAGCTCTCCTCAGGATTCAACCAACCATGGATCATGCAGTACTGTAGTCTTTACCATTGGAAAAAATCAATATTTAAGTGGACCTGTGCAGTTCAAACCCACGTTGTCCAAGGGTTAACTGTAAATAGTATTTCTGCACAAAGGAAAGGGCATTCACTCCACCGTGACAGTTCTTAAGAGACATGAAGATTCTCATTTGCCATGTCAGAGGGGTTTTACCATATCAAAGAAAAAAAAAGAGAAGTTGTCCATAGGTTGTAAAGAGAAAGATTTTAACATCACTATTACTGTATCTAATTTTTTTATCAAATGATGCATAAGTGCAAGATTAGACTGATGTAAAATCACAAAAAGAGAAATAATTTATCTTTTTATCTGTAGGTAAAAGGAAAAGATTCCATTTCTTTAACTTAAAACTTTTTTTTTCTTAAAACTTTGAGTATAGATTTGTTTAATACAATTTACCATTGAGGCTACCAAAAACAGTGTTTTCCAAATGCGCATATTCAGGTCAGCTGGAGTCTATAGATGTGCATGAGAAACAACTATAATCAAGTGATAGGGTCATTTAAAAATATTTGTGTTTAGTGGCAAATGTGCCTTCCAGAGTTTTTAAATAGAATCTTTTAGTAAGGAGAAGGGACATCGGTGCAGAGCTCAGCCACTAATCACAACACAGGCACCAATAATTCTAGTGTTAAAGCTAAACCAGTGACTTCACGAAATATCTTTTTTGGCACCATTTTTAACCTATTATGAGCAATCAGCCAGATACTAATAGTAATAAGTAATGAAAATAATATTTTTTTAATGATGCTATTTACATGCCAGAAAGTCTGTTTCCACAATACCGTCTTAACTAGCTGAAGATTTAATGTTGAAACAGTAAAAACCAACCAAAGAGGTTTTCTTTTTGACATTGTATCACAGCCCATAACATGTCTGGTAACTTGCTTTTTCCATTTTCGAAGTTAGTGTGCTCGCCCATCCTGTAGCCAGTATTTCAGCATACTCTGACAATACTTTAAGATACCGTCTGATGTAATAAGGAAATTCAAAGAAAGCAATTAGAATGCTCTGCCGCTCATGCTTCTGACAGAATTTGGCAAACAACAGAAGCGTTAAGAAGAACATGAGCTGAACGCCAAGCCGGACTTACCGCAAATGAATCCCATGGTGATGTAAAGTTGGACCACGTTGGTACTGAAAGAGGCTGAGACCATTCCCAGACAGCACATCAAGCCCCCTGCCATCACCACGGGCCGGCTGCCATAGTTATTCACCAGGACACTGCTTATAGGACCTGAGGCAGAGAGGGAATGAAGAAAGCTTCAGTTGCTGGGTTATTTATTTATAACCACTTGCTAATTCCGAAAGCTGGGGAAGCACTGTTTAACGATCAAAGAAAAATACCTGAGTTCACACGGGATTTCGTGAAGACTTTTCAGCCCTTGGCAACCTGACTGGTTGTCTTTAACAATATACATACAAGCACAGGAAGTAAGAAATGAGACTTGTTTGACATACGCTCTGTTAGGACCGTCATTATTCCACTTTGGATGGAAAAGCTTTTCAGCAGGACATACCTCTACTCCCTAAATATCTTTAAACACAGGTAAATTTATGTAACAGAAATCTAGGGATTATATAAAAGACTTGTCTGTTAGAATTTTATTTCTTGGAATAATATGTATGGATGCACACATATATGCCTTTAACTGGAGCTGAATTTTTTGTTTTATTTATACCCCACTGTGACTTTTCTTCAATACTATTTTTTTTTTTTTACTCTAAGGTATAAACTGTCTTCATATCTCCTTATATTAGAAATGAGGATGTCTTACACTTGATGGTCTCTTAACAGCCCCTGGTGGCAGGCACCTCAAAAGGCCTGGGCACGCCTGAACTTGGTTATGTCTGTGGCTGGGTTAGACAAGGCCATTGCTCACATTTTGATCATATCATTTAAAGATCGTTTGAAAAAGGAATACAAATACGAATTCTGATGGATCATTGTCTGAAAAAGCTGTCGACACAGTCTGGTAAGGAAGGTCAAGAGAGTACCACCATGGAACCTTACAGAATGGGTGTCACGGTTCAGGTGGGATTGCCAAAGCTGCGTCACCAGCAGAGGACAACTGTGTGTGCAACGTGAACACCAAGTACCCTGACTAAACACTCATGGAGAAGAACAAGATCTTGAATGGACATTTTAGTCACACCTTACTCTATTTAATATACATTTTTTGACGTGTGTACGTGTGTGTATGTATAAAACATTCAGGAGTGATTAAAATCATTTAAATAATCTGTGTTTAACTATGTCTAAAAAAAGCTCTTTTGGTAAAATAAAAATGCTAGCTATTCAGAGAATGTGATGTCTAATTTTAGTGCACATTTTTTTCTTTAGTGGTGCCTCATAAAATAATGGTGCAAAATAACAACAGAGGCTGTCTTAGAGTCACTGTAAGTACGGACCACTTTATAAGATCTTTCCAAATGTAAATGGTTTTATCTGACATTTCCTTCTTAACTTAAAATTACATTTCATCTGAAACTAGTGGTACTGCTTTGAGGGGAAAAAATATTACATTAGGTCAGGATTCTCAGTCCAATGTTTAGCCTAGAAAAAAATAAAATGATTTCTAGTTAATGCTAAAACTGAAAAATTTGCCAAGTGCTGTTGCATTACATTTCAGAATTTCTACAGGGATGATATTTAAAATACACTGAAAAAATATGTATATTATAACATACACATTGATTTAGAAAAACGAGCATTTTAATTGAAAAGCA